TGTGGTTTGCTGACTATTCCAGGTGGTCAGCTCTAGTGTCAGCTTTGCTCAAAATAGAGACTTGATCATTTCCAGGACTGTGATAAGTTACAAACCTTAGTAAAATGCAGGCTGTCGTTAAAAAGAATATACTAAGAGCATGGACTTACCTGTGTAAGAACGTGCACACAGGCACACACACTCCTACTGTATTTGTTCAGTTCTAACACCATTGGTTTTAGATGTTATGCTCCACGGAGAAAGAAAAATGCTGTCAATCAAAGACACCATTGACTGCAAGACACGGCCCCGTTTCAGAGCTTGTGGGGAAACGTGCATCTTAGCGTCAGTGGAAGACGGGAGCAAGTAGGATGGGAGGTACAGAATAAAATATTAATGGTGGTCACCCTGGCTGCTTCAGTCGACGTGTGTAATTGGTATTTTTCTTCATCCTTTCTGTCTTTTCCACAATTTCCATGATGACTTGTCATTTTGAGACCCACAGAACCAAGCAGCCTAACAGCTGGGTTGCGATGGCCTTGATTTACACGTCTTCAGACCCGAGAGTCTGGGAAAGGACGGTCTAATGTTCTGGAAGCTGTACATTTGTAGGCAAGCTTCCAAGCTGAAGGCAATTGAGCAGCTTGTCCCCTGGGCTGGCTGTCTCCACTTTATTCTTTCCCGGAACAGAGCTGCCCTTTCAGGCCACGGTGGGGTGCAGGCACAGCCTCTCTCTGTCCTGGGTGCCATGGGCAGTGAGATGAGGTGGTGGCCTCAGGGAATCGGAAGCTGGCTCATCAGACAGGTGGCTCTGTCGTTGGGAGGGCTTGGCCTCCGTCATCGGCGTCGTTAGGAGGGTGGTGGTGACATTTCAGAACCTCCAGCACTGTCTCCTGGAAGTCAGTGGCCTTAGAACAGTCCTGCCGCTGACAAGGCGGTGGGAAGGGGTGGGAAAGGCTGGTAAGTGTGGCCATCGTGAATGCATGGCGAGGTGGGTACGAAGAGGTTAGCCTCGCTGGCTTCCAGGGTTCCTTCTGCACATGCTCTCCCACAGAGCACGCACGCGGGCCACCCCGACGGCCCCACCCAGAAGGCCCGTCTGTCCTCCCAGCCACTGGGAAGCTACACGGTAGCACTTTCACGTGGCTCTGAGATGCGCGCTTGCTGTCCGTGTGGGCTGGTGGGCGCCTCTTGTCCTTTGCCCCTGCCACCCCTCGAGCCTGCGCCTGTGGCCCAGGCACACCTCATTAGCAGGATTCCTCACTTACACGTGGTTGCCGCCCTTCTGGGTTAGTAGCTCCTCACTGGGACTGGCACTCTTGGAGAGCCAACTGGGTGGGGGTGGGGGTGGGCTGGAGGGGGTCGATGGGGGAAAATGGGGGGACATATGTAATACTTTCAACAATAAAGATTCTTAAAAAAAAGAGCGAACTGTATTTGTAAATAAATCTTTTGCACTGAGAGTCACAACAAATGGATTTCGCTAGACATACATAAAACATTTCAGAAGAGAAGTTAGCACAGGGCTGTCAGAGGGAGGTAAACATCCCGCCAGATGAGATTTTTAATGGATAAATCTTTGTGCCTAACTTCCTGCAGGGGAATGAGGCTAGGATGAGAGAAGATTTATTCCTCTAGCATATTCTAAAGAGGATATTCTAGATTGTTAAACATCTTACTGCTTTCGGAATTGATTTTCCTTTATTAGAACTCAAATATACACTGTGCTTTTAGAGTGAATGCACTGAAATGATTTTTTAAAGAAGAATAAAGAAACCTTGGCAACAAGAAAAAGTTTTAGAAAAAACATACAGATTGTAATACAAAATTAATTGCTAATCAAACCACACTGATTCAGAAGGAGGCTAAGTGTTAAGCTTTTAAAAAGTACCCGCTTTAATTACGTCTCCCCATTTCATCTTGTCTCTTTCATGCTGTCTCAAATCTATGCCCAGCTCTCCAGGTCCTGGCTTTGCAGCCTCTCCCCCTCCCGTGGGAGCTAATAAATCTAAGCTAATGGTTTTAAAAGGTTTGGATTTCTCATTTTGCTTGCATTTGTTCATCCAAGGTCTCCTGAAATGTATCTTGTTTTAAAAACCACTTCTAGAATCCTCACTTGTGGTCCCGTTGCACGTGGTGGTTAATGCATTAGCGCACACACGGTCTTCCCTAGGGAAGTAAGGACTTATTTCTGGCCTTATTTCAGTGTCTTTGAAGAAAGAGTCTGGCCCTAGCTGGTTTGGCTCACTGGATAGAGCGCTGGCCTGGGGACTGAAGGGTCCCAGGTTCGATTCCGGTCAAGGGCATGTACCTTGGTTGCAGGCACATCCCCAGTAGGGGGTGTGCAAGAGGCCGCTGATTGATGTTTCTCTCTCATTGATGTTTCTAACTCTCTATCCCTCTCCCTTCCTCTCTGTAAAAAATCAATAAAATATATTTAATAATAAAAAAAAAAGGGTCTGATTGGCCAGGTTCTATCTAATCCTCTTTTTATCCTCAGCTTTTCACTTTAACCTTCCTCCTTCTTCTTCCTGATTAGATTTTGTGTACGAAAGCCTCTTTTGATTAGATGCGGGCTTCAGCCTGTCTCCTTCTACTTCCTGTTCTTAAACATGGGCTCATAAGTCAGCCTCGTTAATAGGCAGTTCAGTTCAACTCCTTACAGCATCCTCATCCACATGGTACGTACAGGGCCGCAGGGGCCGTGTTTGCAGACCCATCGCAGCTAAGTGATTGTGAGGCCTTTTTGTAAGCCATGGGATTTCTCTAAATGCTCAACAATAACCACAACAATGTGGCTTCAGGTGAGCAGTAAATGCAGGAATTATTTGTAAAACACGGAACGAGAAGCCCACTTATATAATTAATTTCTAGGTTTTACATGTGGAAGATGTTATCTTTTGTTTAATTTACCTAAAGAGACCAGGAAACTGAGCACAGAGTATCTGATCTGAAGACTTAGATCACTCATGATATTAGGCTGCCATTGACTTGGTTGAGTGAGCCCTTTTTCATCTGTTAAATGAGGGAGCTACATAAACGAATGGCTTCCAGGTTGTGCCCAAGCTCTGGCAGTTGATGGAGGGGGCTCGGAGAGAGCACAGGCCATCTCCCAGCATAGCTCAGCTTTCGGCTCTCACATGCTGGGTTCCCTCCATGTTACCTGAAAAGGCATTTACTCTATAGCCCTTTAAAAAAGAGTCTCAAAACCTGCTCTCTCCCAAGGTGTTTGGATTCTGTGAACCAGTAAGATTTCCATAATTCCAGGTTGGCCAGGGTGGGGGAGGGAGTCGCTGCCAAGTGTTTGCCAAATGTAAGGGCATGAAAGGAGCTGAATCCCGTGTACTACCACTGTAATTGCAACACCAAAAGAGGGAGGCAGGCTGTCATCTCAACGAAAACTTAAATCAGACAAACAAATAAAATCAGGTCTTTAGACCAAACAACTGTAGGGCTGTGAATACTCACCACCCTCTTGTTCTGGTGGAGCAGGGCCAGCCCCGGGATGAGGGAGAGGCTGCTCAGAGCAGGTGTTCATCAAAAACCAGCCCTGAATAATGCTCATTTCTCAGTGGGGACTAAAAAGGGCTTGCTGGGTTATTCTCAAGATGTTGATTTCATTTCGTTTCTTTTTAAATTGCTTTCATTTTTAAAAAAATTTCATAAATTTGGTAAGGCATTAAGCAGGAGGGTTTTTCTCTCTCCCATAATTAGCATATCAAAATATTCCCATTTTATTCTAGTTCAATCTTTTGTCCTCTCTGAGATCTGAATATTTTAAGCAAAGCACCTCCATAAGAAGTCTCCCAGCCTAGACAATGCAACCTAGAGGAAAACTCTCCCAGAGGGCTTATCAGCAAGGCTCAGCAATGCAGGAGACAGAGAGGCGTCAGGGGCTGTTACAGGTTTTATTTTTATTTTATTTTATTATTTAAGGTATTACAAATAGTAGTACATATGTCTCCTTCCCGCCCCCCCCCCCATTGACCTCCCCTTGGCCTCCCCTACCCACCCCCCACCCCCCATCCCCCACCCTGCACTCTCCCTCTCCCCTCCAGTGTCTTGTGTCTGTTGGTTGTGCTTATATGCATACATACAAGTCCTTCAGTTGATCTCTTATTCCCCCCAACCCTCCCCTACCTTCCCGCTGTAGTTTGACAGTCTGTTCGATGTTTCTTTGCCTCAATCTATTTTTGTTCAACAGTTTATAATGTTCTTTATATTCCACAAATGAGTGAGATCATGTGGTATTTATCTTTCACTGACTGGCTTATTTCACTTAGCATAACTGAGCAAGATTTCCTCGTGCTACTCAGGACAACGAGCAATTAAAAACCTGTGACAGCAAATGGTAAGCTGTCATAGGTTTTAAATTGTTCGTTGTCCTGAGTAGCACGAGGAAATCTTGCTCAGTCACTCCCCATCCCGCCCAGGATGTGAATCATCCCTTTTGTCCAACGCTGTATACGCTACCTGCCCGCTAGTCACTTAGCCGACTCAGTTACCAGAGAGGCCCACATTCATACAACTTTTATTGTTAAAATTGTTCTATTTTAATATTAGTTATTGTTGTTAGTCTCTTACTATGCTGATTTATTAACTAAACTTTATCATAGGAATGTACACATAGGAAAAACCATAGTATATATTGGGTTCTGCACCATCTGCGGTTTCAGGCATCTACTGGGGTCTTGGATCGCATCCCCCAGGGATAAGGAGGAGTCACTATATTTAACCTTCATGTCAGGGGCTCTGGCACATCCTGCTTTGCATGTGCCCAGGCCCCCAATGAATAGAGGCATTGGCCAGACCCATCACATGAAACTGAGTCCTGATGAGCAAGCGCCTCTGCTTCTCACCTCTGTTGGGCCCCTCTGATTGGCAGACGAACAAGAAGAGGCCTAATTCCTGAGCCTCCCCCCATGTCCTCCACTTTCCCCCAGTCCTTCCTCAGCAAGCCCCGAATCATTCACTTTCCCGAACCTGTGCATCTCGCTCTCCGTTCTCTCTCATCCCTACAGGCCATGCGGGACGCGTTGGCAGACCTCCCGGAGTGGTATGGAATCAAAGGCATGCAGGCCCACTGGATCGGGGACTGTGTGGGCTGCCACCTGGACTTCACCTTAAAGGTGAGCGGCGGAGCCTTCCCAGCAGTCAGTGCTGGCCAGGCCCTCTGCTCTGTTGCAACCCCTTGACCAGCCCAGCACCTGGGGCTCCACGGCAGCGTGTCCAGCGGAAAGAGTGCGAGTCCCACACATAATTTCAAATTTCCCTGTAGCCACAACCTTCACAGTGCAAAGAAACAGGTGAAATTAATTTCAATAGCATGTTCTATTCAACCCATTCTATTCAGAATGTTACTGTTTCAAGATGTGAGCAATTTTTAAAAAGTATGAAGTGTTTAACTATTGTTAACACTCCCGTTTCAGTACAAAGTCTTCGAATCCTGCTGTTGTCCTGTAAGCACCTACATTTCAAGTGCTCGCGGCTGCACGTAGCTCTGGCTACCACGTTGGACAGCACAGATCTAGAGGGTGTTCTGTTGGGTCCATGAACTCCCTGAAATTAAGTGCAGAATGTGTGTGTGGGCACTTCCTAAGCAGCCGGTCCACAGCTCTCACTGTATCCTCGAGGGGGTTCATGTCCCAAAACAGGGAGCCGCGGCTAACGAACGCATGTACCACACAGACGTGAAGCTGTTCGGGTCTGGGCTTCCGCAGGGTCCACAAGAGGGGACCTGCTGAAGGTCACTGCCGAAGGCCACCTGCCCTGGAAGGTCCCCTCGAACTGTCCTCTGTGTCTCTGCTGGCTGGAAAGTTGTTCTGTTGCCATTTCCTGGCTGAGTGTTCTTTTTTATCCTTCTGATGTCGCCTCCTCCATCAAGACCTGTGTGCCCACTTCATTTAGCTCCAAACCCTTCCCTCACCTCAGTCCCAATCAAAACCTTAGAGGGGGCAGCAGCCGGGAGACAGAGTTGACCCACCTTTGCAGGCTCCTTCCTCCTGACAGCCCTGGCTGGTGTCCACTGAGCACCTGCTGCCTGTCACTGAGCTCACCATTCCCGTGCCATGTCCTCACCCACGTGACCAGCTTACTCGGGCCTCAGACCTGGGAGCCCCCATCAGACAGAGGGTGTGTGCTTTAAAAACTTTGAAAATCACACCCTGACATGGGCGTTTCCTTCCACTGCTTTTCCAAGCAAGTGGTGAAATTTCCAGCTGTGACGGCATCTCTCTGAGCATGCTCTGATCACCTTCAATCCGGGCCCAAGTGGGCCTGCTGGTGGGCACCAGGCAGGGCTTCTGAAGGAGGAGCTGTGATCCTCCTCTTCCGCCCTCCTCTGCCCCTGCCGGGTCTATCTCTGACCCCCCGTCCCTGGGGCTGTGGCCAGAAGCTGGCCCCACTATTTGCGGTTGAAGGGGTGGGGAGAAGGGGATGAGGTTGGGGAGCACAGTAGTCCAGAGGGAGGATTAAGAAGGGAATGACTACTCTGCTCTCCCCCTGGCAGGTGGACGGGCAAGTCACAGGAGAGAAGCTGACCGCCTACACGGCCACCCCCGAGGCCATTTATGGCACGTCCCACGTTGCTGTCACTCCCGGCCACAGGCTCTTACACGGGCACAGCCCTCTAAAGGAAGCCTTGCGGAAGGCACTGGTCCCTGGCAGAGGTGAGTTGACAAGTTGAGGCTAAGACGGAGGAGGATCATGTCTTATATCATGCCTCACGGCGTTTCAAAGTTCACTGTCTTTCACATGTCATCGTGTGGGATTTGTCTTCACCTCGGCCTGACTTCTTAGTTTTTTATTTTAAGGCATGGGGATTACAGAAGCATTTTGAACATGTGACGTTGCCCCCCTGGCCTCACTTTGAGTTGCTAGATTGTGTGCTTCTTGAGTTTCTGTCGGGAAGCTCAACGCATTCCCTTTAAATAGAACCTGGATCTACAGCTCTTTTCTGATAGGAATAGAATCTTCTGCTTCGTTAATAATTCCGTCATCAAATAAAACCGTACGCACAGGGACAGGAAGGAAGCCACAGAACTGGAGGCAACATTTTCAACAACTTAATTTTATTACTTTAACAGATTCACATAGTCATCTGAGCAGATGAGCAGCGTCCTGCTCAGCAGAGCTCTTGAGTGACGGGACCGAGTGGATCTGGAGTTGGCATAGTGAATATGCTTGGTCAGTGAGGATTTGGGGAGTGCCACTGCGTTGGGGCCCGTGGCTGCCGCCAGCAGCCGCCTCTGGCTAACACAGAGGGAGAGGGGAGCCTCCTGGAGGCTGTGGGGAGCTTGCTGGCCGGAGGAACCCCTGGAGAACCAGTCTGGAAGAGGACTTGGACCGGCAGCCCTGGGAGCTTGTGCAGCAGGAATTAGTTCTGTCTCTTGAACTGCGGGAATCTTCTGGCCCTCACCCTCGCCCTCAGGGCTTGAGGCACGTAGTTCAGGACTCCTTCTGCAGGGAAAGATGTCTGGTCAGTATCACTGGGGTCCCTGGCCTTTTTCGTGGCCAAGGGAAGGCCAGGGACCTTCCCTGATAAACCACCAAGACCACGCAGTGAGGAAGGCGGGGGCTGCAAAACAAACTCAGGGGCTCTTCCCAGAGGAAGGGGAGATGGATCCTGGCCGGCGGAGGGATGGATCCGAAGGAGGTCTCTGGAGAAATGTAAATATTTCTGTAAAAATATTTCTAGAGTAGCAACTGCAACACACAGTCAATCACTGGGATCTATTTGACTTATTTAACTAAAATGTTTTGGACGGTGATACAAAGCTTTTATATTTTAATTGCTCTTCTTTAGGTAACCAGAATGAAAGACTTCCTGACATCAGGTTGGAAGGACAGACAGTGTCATCCCAGCTCAGATTTCCTGATCGTTTACGTACAGCCTTAGAGCCAGGGTGCAAGGCAGGGACCACTGACCGAGAGCCCGCCACACGCCAGGCACTCGGGGACACAGAGATGACCATTCACAGGGGTCACAGTGGAGGCGGCCAGATGCGTGTGTAGTCCACGCTGGCGCAAGACACAGATAACTCGATCTCATCTCTTTTGCTGTTTTATATTGAAATTGAGAAATGACTCTCTTGAGTTGAAATTTCAATGTGTGCTCATAAAGTCCAATGTCCCTATCTCTCTTTTATTTTTCTATTCAAAAAAATTGGGACCCTTTCAACTGTTCACTTTCAAAAGAAAACTCATAATTTTACTTCTAGAGCATTTGGAGGTTCCTCGGGGCCATGGTGGTTGAATAATACCTAATATTGAAAAACTGAACAGTGTAAACATCTAGCCCTTAGATTTGTTTTCTTCTGGTTTATTTGGGGACACAGATTTAAAGGAGGTGATATTAATAGGGGATCCGTGAGCTGGCAAGTTACCAGAGAAGGAATCCCGGCGTGAAGAGCGCTACATACATTGAAAACATTTTCATGTGGAAGAAGTTATAGTAGCAAATGCAGAGAGCAGCGTATTTGTGATCATTTGGGAATCAGAGCGTCCGATTGTTTCATTTTGGCACCGGATGACTCGTTAGCTTCGTTCCCCCCTCTTTCTAATAATCCCTGAAATAATTCCAACTGGAACATTGCACTTGGCTCTGAATTTTCCAATTCTCATTTTCAGAGTGGAATTATTCTTTATGCAGATATCAGTTTATTCAAAGTCCCTAGGTTAATTTGCATCTGCTGTGGCGTTCGTCACTTAAGGCCAAATTGCTTGGAGAAGGATGCAATTTTCCCAAAAGGTGAATTCAAATGACCGTGTGAATATGGCTCTAGGCCTCCCTTGGCCTTTGAGGCTACACCTTAAACCTGAACATTGCCATTTGCCATCACCAACTGGCTCCGGTTGCCAGGCGGCTCGGTTTTTCCTTGGATGTCAGGTTTTGCGGGTTCTGAGTGCTAGCAAGGCGACCACTGAAAGTCATGGCAGCTCACGGTTGTGACTGGCTCTGAGGAAGGGGGTGACACACCTGGACAGGGTGGCGCTGGGCTGGCAGAGTGGAGGCAGCAGTACCAGCTTCCCCATCCGCTAAGAGCAGGTGAAGACCCAGTAACAGTGGTCATCAGCATGGGGGCGGGGGGCAGAACAGCTCTGGGAACTCCTGGAAGGTGGCAAAGTCAGACACAGCTTTCTGATTTCTGAATTGGGTTGCTGATGTTATTGATTATTGACTAACTGGGCTGTTTGGCACAGATTCCTTTAAGAAGGCAAAAAAGTGAGGTCCCTCCCTGTAGAGTCCTTGCAGTCGAGTTTGCTGACCACCTCTGACTGAGTCATGTTACATGAGCCCTGACTTAATGGGAACTAGGAACCATGAAAAGCATCATACCTCAGACGGACATATTTCGGGGGTGTGTGTGGATAGAGATGAACCAGAGAACTTGTATGCAGATATGCATAACCCATGGACAGACAATAGTACAGTGAAGGGGGGGGGCGGGAGTAGGGTCAGAGGGGGTCAGTGGGGAAAAAGGGACATCTGTAATACTTTCAACAATAAAGATAAGTTTTTTTAAAAAGCATCAAGAGGGAACTACGGGCAGCGTTCTAGAAGCTGTCCTGGCTTCTGGGCGCTTTCCCCACATTCCTAATATTAAATTATTCAGACCCCGGGGCTTCGGAATCACACATTCCAGCTCTGAGTCACCAGCGGCCTGCACAACGCATGCTTTTGCCAAGAGGGTAAATGAGGTCTCCCTCAAGGGTTGTTATTGACGCAGAGCCCCAGAACATTGAATAATTAATTGCTCACTATTGTCTAACTCCTCCCTCCACAGTGGCAGCATGAGGTTGGTTTGTTCTTTAACCAAACTGTCTCTGCTAGCTTCCGGGAGGTGGCAGGGAGGGGAGAGCTGCTGTGCCCACACACCCTGCAATAAACGAAGTCACCAGGCTCCTTTGCCCTGGACCTCTCGGAAGCTTTGCTGTGCTGATGTGCACGGCCAGGGCCTCGGAGAGGAAGCCCTGGTCACACTAGTGGCCACAGACCCCGCCTCCACAGACTGCCCCTGGGGATCCCTGCACGGGCACCCCCTGCTCTGCTGGACACTGGAAGCATGAGGGAGTGAAGGACCTGCCCTAAGCAGAGGGCGCCCTTTTGCCCGGAATGTTCCCCCTGTAATCACTAGTGTCAGCGTCACCTACCTGCCTATCTGCCGTGGGCCGCACCTCAGTTGCTTTGGGTCTCTCCATGATTTCCTTGCCTTCCTGCTTCACGCCACTGGCACAGGATTGAGGAGAAAATATGGGAAAACTAGACCTGATCAAGAACTTCAGACTTGAGTTTTGTTCTTTTGAAGAAACAGATTTTGACCAGGAGTGGCACGCATGCAGGTTACTGCTGTGTGATCCTTGCATATCTGCTGACATTTAAGTTTAAAGACCAGTTGTTTTTGTCATTGAAAAACTGTCGTAACAGAATTTTTATGTAGAAGATGAAAAAAAATCCAACCATTTAATAAAGAAGCTCAAGTGAACTCACTACTTGAGTTCCTCCTCTCGCCCCTTCTTCCTTTGGGTCTTTATTCGTGTTTCCAGTCCCATGTGTATGCAGTGAAGGTCGGTGTGTGTGTGGCTTGTCGCCCTGCTGCAGCCGTTGTAACCAGCTTCCATTAAGACAGATAGTTTCAAATGAAGGGCTTGATAACGACCACATGAATATCTTCGCAGCTGAGCCAAGGATACTATGATTACATTTTCCTTTTTATATAACTTTCTGTTTTTCCTGAAGTTCACTATGTTCTCATTTTATTCATTTGCTTTGTGTTCTTTGAATTTCTAAGGCTTCCCACACCCTCCCAGAAGCTCTTTAAAACTCCTCTCGGTACAGTTTTCTGCATGTTCCAATCTGTATTGGTTCCCCCTCTACCCTGAAGAGGCTGACTGGTCGCCCTCCAGGCCTCTGCTGCACCCTGTCCTCTAGGACCTCCCTCTGCCTTTGTTCTGCAAATAACCTACCTCTTACCTTCTTGGGATCCGCTGTTTCCTGGATCCCAGGTCTGTCCTTTTCGTGACTGACCCCTTCATGTTGCTGGAACACGTCCTCCTGCATCTCCTAACGAGGGGAATGTAGGAAGAAACGTCTGTCTTTGTGCGTCTGGAACTCTCTCTACTCAGTCATTCTCTGCTCTCTGGCCCACTCCGTCTTCACACGCGATGGTTTGGAATTCCAGACGCCTCCTAGCTTTACCACAGGTAGATTTCTGTGTTGCTCACTCAGCAGTATACTGAGGTGTTTTTCAAAAGGAAAAGGGGGGTGATGGGAGCATCTTTTCTCCTCCATGTGGAAAGTAAAAATGCCATTTTCACTTCTTTGGTTATGAGCATGGATGAACATTTTCATGTATTTGTTTAGTCTTTTGATTCCCGCTGGTGTGAATTATCCATTAAAGCCTTCAAAGAAGAAATTCTTGGACAATTAGCACAAAACAGGGATGTTTTTCTCGCCTATCTCCCCTGAGCTGCAGGCCGCCCTCTGACTGTACCCACAGTTCTCCACCCTCATTTTCAGATTGCCTCACGCCTGTGACCGCTGTGAACATGCTCACCCAGCAGGAGGTCCCTGTCGTCATCGTGGCCGACGCTGAATTTGAGGGCTCTCTGGATTCAAAAATAGGTAAGTAACTATTAAAATGTAGTTGGGGTCATGTATTATCAGGCTTAAAGTAAAAATATTGAGACTGTCAAATCCCAGAGGGAAGATGGGAGAGGATGGGTGGGTGGGAAGTGATTAACCGGAGAACTTGTATGCATATATGCATAACCCATGGACACAGACAATAGTGTGGTGAAGGCCTGGTGGGGTGGGGGCAAGGGCAGGCTAGAAGGGGTCCATGGAAGCGGGGGAGGGGGGGGGGGCGGGGGGAGGGGACATATGTAATACTTTCAACGATAAAGATTTAAAATTCTAACCTGTTGCCGTCAAATGGAAGAGCTGACTGTTGGTGCCATAATCCGTTTTGCCTCTTTGTAGAAGTGAATGCCCCCCCCTTCATTTAATCACCCTTATTTAAGAACTACATTTTGAAAACATCAGGTATATCGCACCTTGCTAGTTGCTATTGAGAAAAATCAAAGATGTCTGGCCCGAGGATCTTGCCAGCAGAGCTAGTTGGTGAGACATGTACCTACAATGTAGGGAACAGAACAGCTCAGGCGAAAATCCCATCTCAGGTCTCAGAACCCATGGCAGCTTCCGAGATGGGGTTCCACACACAAACCATCCACGCGGGCTGGGGTTTTGGTGAGGGCTTTGAGGAGAGGGGAGCTTGAGCCATTCAAGAAAAGGATCATGAAACAGCAGCACAATGGAAGGCATATTTAGAATGGTAAGTTGGGTATCCTTGGCAGCCTTACTCATCGCAAGCATTCTATTTTTTTTATTATGTTTTGATTGGTTATTTAAAAAGAAAAGAAGGGAGAGGGAGGGATAGAAACATCGATGAGAGAGAAACAGGGATCAATCGGCTGCCTCCTACATGCCCCCTGCGGGATCGAGCCTGCAACCCGGGCATGTGCCCTGACTAGGAATCAAACCAGTGACTTTTTGGTTCAGGGGTTGACACCCAACCACTGAGCCACAGTGGCCGAGCCATGAGCGTTCTAAACGATCGCATCCAACAGGAAGTCTTGGAAGGAACCAAGGACACGGCCTCAGACAGTCCACCCGAGGTCTGCCCTCACGCCTCTTTCCACGTCCCTATTGTAGTTCGGCTGGTCTCCGGAGTGCCAGACCCTGCAGAGAAAGCTATTTCACACTGTTTCCTGGCACACAGAGAAAATAGCATTTCTTATCAAATCATGTTTTTCCGCACAGTTCTCAGATTCCTTTCTGACAAAGTGACTTGAAGAAACACCCACACAGAACACAGCTATTAAGCTGTTCAGGGCATTCTCTTCTGACAGCTGAAGCCTAGAAAACGTGTTAAAGGAAATATCTCCTCCTTTTATGAGTTTTATCATTAGTAAAATTCATTAAGACAACTGGCCACGATAAACAATAACGGCAGCGCTTGCTGCATGGCTTTTTTTTTTTTTCTTTTGTATTTTGAGTCAAAGTACTCACATAAATTGAGTGTCTGAAAGAAAAAAACATCTGATATTTTAGGTCTGTTGGGAAAATCATTTCTCCTGTGTTGTCTTGATTTCCCACAGTTACATAACTAACATTTTCTGAGTTATTGCCTCGTGCCCTCCAAGAACTGAAACAGAAATCCAACAAGAGATGACGCGGTAATTTTGCCGTCTCACCAGCATTTCACAAACAGTGCCGTGTCCTGAGCCCACGTGGCCAGCACCATGGCCAGCACCCCGGCCCGGCGCATTCTTCCCGTGGTCAGATACATTCCCTGGCACAGCACCTGCACGCGAGCCTTGCTCCAGCCGCTCCAGCCCGCACACGTGGGATAATGACGCTTCCCTTCTTGACCACAAGCACGTCATTGCTCGCCGTGTGTCCTCACCCGCCAGGAGCTTTCAGGTCCAGTGTGAACGTTCATTTGCTTTAGGAGGTGCTGTCAATAATCTCATTGGGAACAGGAGCCACGGAGCTTCCATCTCACCACGGAGCTTGTGAGCGAGTCTCCCAAACATGAATTCACCCTCGTAGGCCAGGGCTCGGAGAGGCCGTTCTGGAAATCTGACCTGAGTGTTTGGTGTGTTTCCCGTAGCTTTGTCTCATTTGCTACGAGAAGTGTTGGGCCCATGAGGATGTTGGCAGTTGTGACCGTTGTCCCTACAGCAGGAGTTCTCAGCCAGGGGACATTTGGCCACCAGGGGACACCTGGCAATTGTAGGGACATTTTTGTTGGTCACACCTGGGGCAGTGCTGCTGGCAGAGGCCAGGGATGCTGCTCCCACCGGCCCTCCACAGTCAGCTGAAATACCTGTTTTTATGAACCTCTGATGCCCAAACAGCAGGCCATGGCCCTCTGGAGGGGTGATTAACTCATGCCGACTCCATCTCCTCAGGGGTGTGTGGGTTGAAGAATAAATGTCTATTCACAATGTGCTCTTGCCTCTGGGAACGGAGGAGTATGAAAAAACAGTTCCAGCTTCCGGCTCCTGGCTGCGTGAATTTCTCCAGGTGCCGGGCAAAGCGGGAGGAGTCAGCCTGCCTCTCTGAGAGCACACTGTCCTCTGTCACCGAGAGGGTTCAGCGAAGAGCCCCCCCCCTCCACCCAGACTTGTGACGTACTGTTTCAGTGGCAAAAAGCACCCCAAGTTGTGTATTTTTAAAGTATATTTTTTATTTACTTCAGAGAGAAGAAGGAAGAAGGAGAGAGAGATAGAAACATCAGTGTTGGCCTGCGGACTGAAAGGTCCCAGGTTCGATTCCGGTCAAGGGCATGTACCTTGGTTGCAGGCACATCCCCAGTGGGGGGTGTGCAGGAGGCAGCTGATCGATGTTTCTCTCTCAGGTTTCTAACTCTCTATCCCTCTCCCTTCCTCTCTGTAAAAAATCAGTAAAATATATATATTTTTTTAAAAAAAAAGAAACATCAGTGATGAGAGGGAATCATCGATTGGCTGCCTCCTGCACACCTCCCACTGGGGATGGAGCCCGCAACCCGGGCATGTGCCTGACTGGGAATCATACCGCCTGACCTCCTGTTCATAGGTCGACGCTCAACCACTGAGCCACGCTGGCCAGGCCCAGGTTGTATATTTTAGAATTACAACTATTGTTGAAACGAAACTAAGCAAAGGAAGAAGACTTAAAGGAAACAGTACCAAGATGGTGGCCGGGTTGCTAGGGCGGTGGGTTTCTCCAAGATGGTGCCCCTTTCTCCAGCGAGTGTGGGAGCTTCTGTAGCTTCTGTAATGAAAAGAGGCAGCGTCTCCCCGAAGAAGCTGAAGTCGTGTCGGTGCTGTTGGTTGTTTTGTGGTTCGGGCATTTGCAAAGGAGACGTTTTGTGTCCTTTCTTCCCCTCTCCGCAGGCATTCCCTGCACCAGCTCAGAGGACGCCGTCACAGCCCAAACCCTGGGCCTCTCCTACTCCGAGGTCATTGAGACGCTGCCAGATGGCACGGAGAGGCTGAGCGGCTCCGCTGAGGTGGGTGCCTGTGGCCTGGGCCTGAGGACTGACTTCTAACTTCGTGACCTTGACATGAGTCTGAGGCGACAGTTGCCTTTGGTGCCAAGTACAGCCTGCCACTTCACTCGTCCCCACACCAACAGTCTTGCATTGCAGCCTCCTTTCTTAAGCTGTGAAAACAAAATGATATTCTTTTTCAAGGTCTAGAGGTTTATCTACTCTGAGTCGAACCCAGTTCTACAATAGTATGGTTATCACAGTAAGGAGGCTTCATGTCGGGACTGTGCTGCGTGAAAAAAAATGACCTCTTCCAGGAAATTGCTTTTGCTCATGAGCTTCTGGAATGTAAAAACAGTGATGCGTGGAGATAGACTTTCTTTTTTTGTTTGTTTTTAGACAGAGAGAGAGGAAGGGGGGAGAGAGAGAGAGAGAGAGAGAGAGAGAGAGAGAGAAACATCACTTTGTTGTTCCATTTATTTGTGCATTCATTGGTTGCTTCTTGTATGTGCCCTGACCAGGGATCAAACCCACAGCCGTGGCATGTCAGTAGGATGCTCTAACCAGCTGAGCCACCCGGCCGGGGAGGAAGGTAGACTTTCTGAGCATGTGCACCCCAGTCATGTAGGACAGTGGAGTGGGAGTAGGAGACATGGAGGATGCCTCCCAGAGTGGACTGGGTCCTGGGGGAGAGCTCTGTACTCCAGGGGACACTTCCGGCCCTTCCTGGAAGTAGCTGCCCTTGACCAACATGGCTGTACTCCCTTATTCCTTTGCCTTGTGACTGTGAGCTGTTCGAGGGCAGACAGATGGGACCTACCTGGGTGCCCCCAGTGCCGAGCACAGCCCTATCCGGTTCCAGGGCACCCACAGGACCGGTTCTCCTCATTCCTTTCCTTCTCTCAAAGACGTCAGGTGAAAGAGAGTTCCTCTTTTCTGCTGTCTGGGCTCTGCCCTGTGTCTACAAAATGGAAACGTTTAGGTACAAAAGGTGCTTCTGGTTCTCCAAGCTGGGCCCATCCCTTCCCTGCTTGGCTGCACTCCTGCTTTGGGGCAATGCTGCATTTTTCTCTTCTGACTGCCTTTTCCCCCAACAGAGGAGCAGTCATTACAAAAGCACGTGATGCCGTTCTTGACCGGCAGCTGCGTGCTGGTGTGTGATGATCTCGGCAGGGGGTGCCCGGGGAGGCCCGGGGCCAGGGCCACTTACCCATCAGATGGCCCCGTGGATGCAGCCTAGGGCCCCCCAAAGGTTTTCTTTTAAAATCAGAAGAAAAAAGTGAACTTTTAGGGTAAAAATTATATTTATTTTTATTCCACACAGTCATAAAATATAATTTTTTGGTATGATCTTTGGGAGGGAGGGGCCCACAAGGGCAAAGGCACCTGGGCTCACAAAGGTCACAGTGCACAGAGCCCACAGAAACCCGGCAGTCCTGGTGGTGGCACGGGTGGCGCTTGTTCTTCATATATATACTGGTGTGTGTGTGTGTGTGTTCATTTCAGAGAGGAAGGGAGAGGGAGAGAGAGAAACATCAATGATGAGAGAGAATCACTGATCGGCTGCCTCCTGCACGCCCCACACTGGGGATCAAGCCCCCATCCCAGGCATGTGCTCTGACCAGGAATTCGAACTGTGACCTCCTGGTTCATAGCTCAACACTCAACCACTGAGCCATGCCAGTCGGGCATGATGCTTGTTCTTGAGCAGGGAGAAACGGATCCCATTTTTCCCTCTCAGTTCACAGGTATGAGCCGGCAGGATGCGTTTCTCGCCCTGACTGAGAAAGCCCGGAGGAAGGGAGTGGGTGGAGACGTGACGAGTGGTAAACTGAAGGACTGGCTGATCTCCAGGCAGCGGTACTGGGGCACGCCCATCCCCATGGTCCACTGCCCGGCCTGTGGCCCCGTGCCTGTGCCGCTGGAGGACCTGCCCGTGACCTTGCCCAGTATCACATCTTTCACTGGCAAGGGAGGCTCCCCACTGGCCACGGCGTCGGAGTGGGTGAACTGCCCCTGCCCCAGGTAAGCAACCACGTCCCCCAGCTGAGACTGACTATGGCCGCTAGCGCCCTGCTGGGGTTTCAGACTCCCTTTTCTCTGGGGCTAACTCTGCTCCCTTCTGGGACTCCCACTGGGCTGGTAGAATACCGTAGGTCTTTTGGGGTGGTGGGAAGCAGGATTCCCGGGGTCTCTATAAGCTCCTACCCGCAGGGGCCACCACTGTTCTCAGCGGGAGCCTCCTGAATAAAAGGCAGGAGGTCCCTGGGGGGGTCCCCCGAGAGACACCCCGATATCTGAGGCTCCTGTCTCTGCTCAGCCACTTCCATTTAACAAGTGGGAGGTGGGAGTGGCTATTTCCCTCGGTAATAGGGTAATATTTGTAAAGCCGGTATGAACTGCTTCACAGGTGGGAGATATGAATGCAACCCTTCTTTTATTTAAAGATTAAAAACAGACTCGAGCCCTTGCATGCCAAATTAGCAGAAGTTTTATCGTTTCTTCCTAGGGCTCCTCATGCCTTTCCTTGTCCTCCAAGAACCCCCAAGGACATAGACTGCCCACGGCAGCATCGGAGGGATGGTTGGCCCTGTTTCTGTGCCTCAAAAGGGAGAGTGTGGAGTCTGGGCCGTGTCCTCCCCCTTCCCTGTGGCTTTTCACTGTTAACAGCTGACTCACCCGATCCATAGCTGGTCCAGGCCTAGTGGGTCCTCAAGGGAGCTGAGCCCCTCCTAGGCGAGGCGGACTAAGGGCACCCTCTCCTGGGTCCCTAGAAGATGTGGCTTTGGCACCAGTTCCTTCACTCCCCAGGCTCAGCGCCCTGGGGCCGTGTTTCACTGTTGGCTCAGCAGCTGGGCCCTGGCGGAACCTCTGTCCCGGCATCTTCATCCCCAGGGCGAGGGTTGCTTTTTCTTTTCAGCCCTCACTCACCAGTGTCTGCATTGATTTTCTTGAACAGCAGGTCTGTCTTCACCCTCCTGTTAGGAGCCCGTGTTTAGGCAGCGGATGTGGATAAATGTGTACTAAGTAGCCCTCTGGAGGGGCTTCCGGTTTGCAGGGCTGCGGATTCTGTGGTGTAGGCACCCGCACCCAGGGCTGACTTCAGGCTCCCCCCTCGACCACTTGTTGCACAGCTAGGAGGAGGCGCTCATGGCTGCTTCTTGCCAGCTGGTTTGAGGGGGCTGCGGCGGTCTCTGCCTTCGGGCTCCAAGGTGATTTATCTACCAGGGTCACCCAGTGGGCTTCTGCCCCCTGCCCCCTACAGCAAATGTTTTTAAGAAAGTTCATTTTCCGGTGCAGCGTCTGGCTGCATTTGGTTTTCAACTTCTCTTCGTGAATTGATTCGCCTCTGAAGCATCATAAAGGAGGCTTGGCTAGAGGCAGTGTTGACACGCCTGAGATAGAAGTTAATGCGCAAGAAAGACACTTATTCTTGTCTTGTCCCTTTAGGTTGTTAGATTTTCTACCAGGTTCCATTGGAGAAGTGGAGAATAAGGCTTTTAATTGTTAAAGACTGAAGTTCTTATTCCAAGAACTTCTTTAAAACACGAAAGAGCTTTCTCAGAATGGTCCTTCCCTGATGTGCATTATCCTTAGGGCATTTCACATTCCTCCTCATTACCACAGCTTTCTCAAAGCTGGAGGAGCACTGCATTAATATTTAAAGAAACCAATGGACGGACTTCATTTATTTCCTAGGTGCAGGGGCGCAGCCAAGAGAGAGACAGACACGATGGACACCTTTGTGGATTCCGCCTGGTACTACTTCAGATACACCGACCCTCAGAACACGCACAGGTGAGCCCTGCCCGACTCTCGCACGTGTCCACCTCAGGGTCTTCCAGAAGCACAGCCACATGGATTAGATGTGCAAGACACGGCTTGGGGGAAGTGCCTATGAGGAGTGAAGGGCGAAGGAGCAGAAGTCGCAGGGAGCGCCCTTCGCCCTTCGAAGGGACCCAGGGAAGTAGGAGACAGGTAGGAAGAGCCTCAGACCACAGTGCAGCTCTGAGGAGGTCTCAGCCAGGCCAACAGGATGCCTCGTGCAAAGCTTGCCCATTGGAGTGTCATGGCATAGCATGGACACCAAGTGGATTTATTTTTTTTAACGTATATTTTTTTATTGATTTCAGAGAGGAAGGGAGAGGGAGAAAGAGATAGAAACATCAGTGATGAGAGAGAATCATTGATTGGCTGCCTCCTGCACACCCCACACCTGGGATCAAGCCTGCAACCTGTACATGAGTCCTAAGCGGGAATCGAACTGTGACCTCCTGGTTCATAGGTCCACACTTAGCCACTGAGCCACGCCAGCCGGGCCTGAGTGGATTTACAGATGGAACTGTGGGAGCTGTTGGGCACTCTGCTCCTTGAAGCAGATTTTGTCAAGGGAGCCTGTTAGATGATTGAATTAGATTATTCGTGGCCAAGTTAGTCCCAAATACAGGAAAGATAAAGCACAGGGGAAGGAAGGAAGTGCTGGAGGCATGCCCCCTTGGCCCCGCACTGGCCTGCATTTATGCGATTATAAAGCTCTAATCTCATTTACTCGACTGAAAATAATGATGGAACTATGCAGGGAGGGTAGGAGGGAGGGTGTATGAGAGCTAAGAAACACCATCTCTTATCACACACTGTCAACGATTAAAATTTAAAACTGATAAATCAACGAAGAGTATGCACATAGTTTTAATAATTGCCAGAAGAAACAGCTAAGAGGAGCAAACGTGGCTGAGGAATGGGCGGGTGTGCGGGGAGAAGGGGTCAGTGAAGGGATGGGGCCGGAGAGCACTGCTCTGAATGTCAAACCCTTCGGGGCTGTTTGGTTTTTGTCTGTGTGCCTGTGTTCCCTTGAAAAAACAGATAAATGAGGGAAAGAGTGCAGGAGGTAGATAAGTAGAGAGAGAATGAAAACAAAAGAAAGCAATCGCAGAGCACAGGAAAAACTACAAAAAAACTGTGCTCAGAGGCCTTGCCAGCTCGCTCTTGTCTGCAGGAGAACAATGACTCCGAAACCCGTAGCCCATGTATAAAAAGGCCCCTTTTTATAATATTCCAGTGAGACGGGTGCCCCTTCACTCCCCGCCCCACCTGACAGTATTGCGATTCTGGCTTTGATTCAGGCCAGGTGAGGGGGACCCCGAGTGAACAGAAACCAGCAAAAACAGAAAGGGTGCGGGGTAACTGCTGAGGCTGGGAACCACCAGGGTGGCCCCAGCTCCCCCACTGAGGGGCCCTCTCCTGGGTCTTCCTTCTAGAAGGCGCTGTGGTGCGTCCACCAAGTAACAGCCGGCTGATGCGGAACGCAGGCTGTGCACCTCTCAGAGCTGCAGGGAGCAGCTTCTCACAGATGAAGGAGACTCTAGATGACAGCGGTGGGACCCTCCTGCCGGAGAGGCAGTCCTGGGCCTTCACAGCCCCCATCCGGGATACCAGGAGCTCGGCATTTCCTTCCCAAAGTCGGCCGCTCATTTCAGCACCGGCTTCGGCCTCACTTGGTGGTTTCGGGCAGATCGCAGATCCGAGCTGTAGCTGCTTTCAGCACCTCAGTCCTTAGTTGATCTCAAACTCATTTGGGGCTCAGTACCATCCCGACTTCCCTTTCTCGTCTATCACCTGGATCAGCAGTTGGATTTCTCTGGGGAACCATTTTTCACAAAGAAAAACATTTTTTTAAATGTTACTAGAATTCTGGCAGAGTGACCGGAGGAGAGACCAGGCTGCAGTAAGATGCTAACGCGTGGTGGTTGGACAGGCTCACCTGCTTAGCAACAGGGGCCAGCGCCAGCCGAGCCCATGCTGCGGGGAGAGGCGTGGGGGAGAGAACTCAGATGCTTGAAATCATGGAGTACACCTCCTGCAAAGGCAGAAGTATGCTGTGTGCTGCACTGATGGCCTCTGTGAGGGCAGTCCCTGGGAATGAAGAGGTCTGTCCCCAGCCAGCACTGCCCCCCAACACATGTGCACACACACACCTCTGCACACACACATCTCTGCACACTCTCACACACCCACCTCTGCATACACACACACCTCTGCACACATACACACACCTGCTCACACACACACACACACACACCCCTCTGCGCACACACACACAAACACACAGACACACACACACACACCTCTGCACACTCACATACCTCTGCACACTCACTCACACACACACACCTCCAAGAGTCATCATAGGAAGTGGCTCTCTCCCTGCCTCTCCCCCAACTCCCCCCCGCCCCCCCACCCCATCCCCCACCCCTGCCAGCATACCTGAGGACCGAGAGTCTGAGGAAGCCTTCCTTTTAGGATCTCTGTGGACTAAAGACCCAGTTAGGTGACAGGGAGTTGTGGGCTCTTTTCTGACAGGTACCCTAAGTTTGCTCATTGCATTCAGGAGTCAAATACAAGCTCTTGCTGTCTGCATTTAAAAAATAAGACTGAATACCACATGATCTCACTCATTTGTGGAATATAGAGAACAACATAGACTGATGAACAGGGACAGATCCAAAGACAGAGAAACAGCGATCAGACTATAAATCCCCAGAGGGAAAGTAGGGGAGGGAGGGGGTAAGGGGGAGAGATCAACCAAAGGACTTGTATGCATTGTATGCATGCATATAAGCCAAACCAATGGACATGGACAACAGGGGGATGAGAGCATGGGGGGGGGGGGCAGTGCGGGGGAGTTAATGGGAAATGAGGACACATTTGTAATACCTTAACCAATAAAGAAATTAAAAAAAAAAAAAAAGACTGAATTTCTGTTTTAAAATGAACATTTAGTGTCTGTATGGTAATCTCCATTGTAAATGCTACATTGCCCCCTGTTGGTAAGAACTTAAAAATCTCAATTATCTATCATAATAAAAATTAAAATAAATTTAGATATTCAAATATGCATTATACAGAAATACCCTCCTTTTTTGCTTGTATATTTTCCTCTTGTCCTCATTTTATATGAAAATTGCATTTGTTAAAATATGTCCGTAATGGCTTCTGAAACAATTTTTATAAATTTTACAAATGAACACTGATCTGACTTTTTTCTCCTTTGTTATATAAGGTTTTCTCTTTATATATATGTATATGTATTTATTTACTTTTTATTGATTTCAGAGAGGAAGGGAGAGGGAGAGAGAGATAGAAACATCAGTGAAGAGAGAGACTCATTGATTGGCTGCCTCCTGCGTGCTCTACACTGGGGATCGAGCCTGCCACCCGGGCATGTGCCCTGATGGGAATTGAACAGTGACCTCCACGCTCAACCATTGAGCATTGCCAGCCGGGCTCTCTTATTATATTTTTAAAAGGAAATCAGTGTTTTTCTCTGACATAATTTATTTCAGGGCATATGCAAATTACAGCCCATCTGTCTTATTTATGCAACTGTGGCCAAGCAGGTTTTTAAAAAAAGACCATTTCTCTTTCTTCCAGTCCTTTCAGCCCAGCGCTGGCGGACTACTGGATGCCCGTGGATCTGTACATTGGGGGGAAAGAGCACGCCGTCATGCACTTGTTCTATGCAAGATTCTTCAGTCATTTCTGCCACGATCAAAAAATGGTCAAGCACAGGTGAGCAGTGAGGCCGCTTTGCAAAAGAATTCAGCACCATGAACAGCAACTTAAAGCAGGCATCCGTACTGAAGCCAGTAAATGTCTCAGAAGAATTCTGTTTTTCGAGTCTATTTTAGTGTTCAAGGTCAGCCTGAACCATTGGAAGTGCGTTTCTGTTGCTTAATTGTTGTAGGAGGTGGTACCGCATGTTCCCATCAAATCTTGCCTTAAGCCCTTCTCTGTCTGACAGAGTTAAGCAATTGAGATTTTTTACTTGAGAGGCAGAGAAGAGCGGTTTATGATGTTTCACTACAGCTTTTTTTCGCTTCTCATGTTCAGTCATATTTATCTTCTGGCCCCTTGGTACAAGCTCTGTTTCCAAGCTGGACTGAATCCTACCTCACTATATCACTCTGATAAAAATATATAACGGATTAAAGGCTAGGGAATCACATTGTAAATCCATTTGCTGGCGTCCCACCCCAGCAGGTCCAGGGGTCCCCAAAGGTGTGGACGGAGTCGGCGAAGAAGGAATGACACAGAGGCAGTGTTCAGTTGATCAGCATGGTTGGGTTCTCTTGCCTGGTTCTATTGCCAGGTTCTGTAGGTTCTCCAGCCAGGTTCTGTCCAGGTTCTCCAGCCAGGTTCAGTCACCAGGTTCTAGTCAGGTTCTCTTGCCAATTTCTGTAGTCAGGTTCAGTCCAGTATCTTTTGCCATGTTCTCTCGCTAGGTTCTGTCTCTAGGTTCTGAGGCCAGTTTCTGTCCAGGATCTTTTGCCATGTTCTCTCGCTAGGTTCTGTCTCTAGGTTCTGTGGCCAGTTTCTGTCCAGGATCTTTTGCCATGTTCTCTCCAGCGAAGTTCTTCTGTCTCTAGGTTCTGTGTACGTTCTGTGTCTAGGTTCTGTGTACTGTTGTCTTGTTACATCTGTATTTATACCAGTTGATTCCAATCCTATCAATCTCTATTCCAAAGGTTAGGGCGTTTCTTATCTCCATTCCAGGGAGTAAAGATTATGTAGCTTAAGCATGATTGTTCGTAGTTAAAGTGATTAATTACCCGCCTGGCACTTAGTTAAGGGGTTTTATTCCCTCCCTAACTTCAGGGGAAAATCCCTACCTGGGGAAACAACCTTTCTCAGAGAGGTGACCTTGGTTAAAACACATAGTGCCAAGAAGGTGAGCAAACATATTAAAAACAGTATGCCATATATGCCAGGTCCCTTGAAACAGCAAGGATGGACCAGCTCCTGGCATCCATTGATAAATTCTCTTCCTGTTGGCCTGTGATCAAGTCCCTAGGATGTTCAGAAAGATGTGCGTGTGCTTTTTCCCATGAAGTATATCATATATATTACATGTATTTAATGTACTACACAACTTAAAGCATACAATGAAGTGCCATGCACCCCCTTCTCAGTTTAAGAAACAGTGTGAGAGGTTCCTTGGAGTCCCCGGGGTGCCCTCTCCAATCCAAACATCCCTCTTCCTCCACCACCATCCCTCGCCCAGCAAACCCCTGCCCTGAATCTTGAATTATTCACTCTCTTACTTTTCTTTATAAATGTGTCACCTCTGTGTGTGTGTGTGCGTGTGTGTGTGTGCATGTGTGTGTATTTCAACAATATGCACTGTTTAGTTTTCCTGTGTTTGAGTAGGATTTTATTTCAGGCGCTCTGTCCTGCTTTACTTGCTCAACACTCCTGGGTTCATCCACTCTGCTGCACAGAGTTGTAGCGTTCCTCTCTCACACTGTGGTGTCTGTTACAGGGAATGGGTTCTAATGCAGAACTCGGTGTATGTACCCAAACCCCCACGTGTCAGTGGTTCTCTGGGGTGTGTCCCCAAGAGTAGAGCTGCCGATTGTGGGGTTCGCACATATTCAGCTTGACTCAGGAGCACCATGTTGGTTACATAAACCCACCCTCTCACAGCAGAGGTGAGGGCTCCTGTTGCTCTGTCTATGTCTTCATCATGACAACAGCTTTACATTTTGAAAAGCTGGTGGTTGTAGGATGGATTGCTCTGTGAGTTAGATTTGCGTTAGCAACACTGCTGACTTACTGAAGTTTGGCATGTTTTTAATGTTTATGGTCCTCTGTGTTTCCTCTTACAGTGGATCCTTGATTGTGTCCTTTGCTCGTATTTCTTTTTTTAATATACTTTTATTGATTTCAGAGAGGAAGGGAGAGAGAGATAGAAACATCAACAATGAGTGAGAATCATCGATCGCTGCCTCCTGCACGCCCTCTACTGGGGATTGAGCCCGCAAACTGGTCATGTGCCCTGATCAGATGGAACTGTGACCTCCTGTTCACAGGTCGATGCTCAACCACTGAGCCACGCTGGCCCGGCTGCCCATATTTCTTCTGGGTAGTGTTCTATTGTTTGTAGGAATTCTTTTTAAAAAATATATATTTATTGATTTCAGAGAGGAAGGGAGGAGAGAGAGAGAGAGAAACATCCATGATGAGAGAGAATCATTGATCAGCTGCCTCCTGCACACCCCCCACTGGGGATCAAGCCCACAACCCAGGCATGTGCCCTTGGCCGGAATCGAACCTGGGACCCTTCAGTCCACAGGCTGACGCTCTATCCACTGAGCCAAGCCAGCCAGGGCGTTTGTAGAAATTCTTGAGTTATTCTGGATGCTAATGCTTTTTCAGCTGTAGGAATTGCAAGTATTTTTTCCCAGTCCTTAGCTTGCCTTATTTTTATGTCTTTTGATGAACAAAAACTCATAATTGAATGTAGTAAATTTTAATAACCTTTCATTGCTTTTAGTGTCTCAGTAGCATCCATTTCCCCCCTGATCAGTAGAGTCCTCTCCCTCATAAATCAAGTTTTCATATATATGCAAGGGCCTATTATAGGATCTTTATTCCTTCCATTGGTTTATTTGGTTTTTGCTGTGCTAGTTATTTACTGGATTTATTTTAATTTTATAAGTCTTAATATTCAGTAAGGGAAGTCCTCCTACTTTATTCTTTTTCTCTGGGAGTATCTTAGCCGTGCTTGGACCTTTGCTCTTCCGTGTATATTTCAGATTCAGCTTCTCAGATCCACAGAAGTATCTATGGGAATGTGGTTGGAATTGCTATATCTTTTCTCACTCTTCCTTCTTGCATCTCTGATCTTAACATCTGAAGTCATGTCCCTTTTTTTCAAATCACATGCTTTAGAATAGCTCTTGTGTTCTTTAGTGAAGGTCCAACTATGAGTTCTCTTTTGTGAGTTTGCCAGCTCGATGACCATGTTTTACATGTTTCATTTGTCCTTTTTTTAATGCAACATCTTTTAGAATATTTTTAAATTTTTTATTTATTGATTTGAGAGAGAGAGAGAGAGAGAGAGAGAGATCAACTTGTTTTTCCACTTATGTATGCATTCATTGGTTGATTCTTGTATGTGCTCTGAGCAGGGTTCGAGCCTGCAACCTTGGCTTATTGGGACAACACTCTAACCAACTGAGCTACCTGGCCAGGGCCTTTAGTCTGTTTTTTAATTGCAAAGAAAAATAGGAAAATGTCTGATTATCTCCCCAGCCAGATAACCCTGACTAACAATAGAAAGTAATTATACATGTCTAAGATTAAAATGTTTTAGCTACACAGAAAGAGAACATTGAAATGTCCTCCCTGCACCCCACCCTGCACACTTCTCCTCAACTTGCTAACAGTGTTTTGATTTCTTCCCCTCAAAAAATTTGCATAGCTCTGTGTTCCTATTGATATATGCATTTTGACATGTTACATATATTATTTGTATATCTTTTGCTTTTTTTGATTCAATAATATAACGTAGTGATCTTTCCATGTCGGCACATAAAAATCTTCTGCTCTACCCTAGCTGGTTTGGCTCAGTGGATAAGGCATCGGCCTGCAGACCAAAGGGTCCTGGGTTCAATTCCAGTCAAGGGCACGTACCTTGGTTGCTGGCTCCTCCCTGGCCCTGGCTCTCATCGGGGCTCGTGCAGGAGGCAACCAATCGATGTGTTTCTTTCACATCGATGTTTCTCTCTGTCTTTCACTCTCTCTTCCACTCTCTCTAAAAAGCAATGGAAAAATATCCTCAGATGAGGATTAAATATATATATTCTGTTCTTTTTAACTTATTCGTAGTGTCCCACCATAAGGATATGCCATAATTTATTTAAGCAGTCATCTATGTGTTCAGTTGCTGTTACAAAAAAATTAAAAAGTCTGATGACTCTGTACCGATACTCTTGGCAGGTGTTTGGAATCCTGTCTGCAGGTTCAAGTCCTAACACTGGGGAGTGCTGGGTCAAAGGATTTGTGTTTTTACATTTTTAAAAGCAAAAAAATGTTACTTTTAAAACCTCCGTGGTGCAGACGGCAGTCAGTTTCATTAACAAGCAGCGCATGGAGCGCTCAGACTTGCTCCCTCGGTCTGTGCATGCCCACACGGATGGGAAATCTACTGTACAGAAAACTAATTCAGGACAAATTAAATACATAAAATAATTTTCTTCTCATTAGACCCAGAGAGCTTTGCGAGTAAAAATAAACTGATCCGTGTCAGGAACGAAACACGTTGACAGCTTTAATCCGCGGGTAATAAGTGAGTTCACGTGTTTGAACCGGGGGTGGTAGGATTTGTGATTCTGCCTTGCCTTTCTGACTCCTTCTCTATGGAAACCTCTGTACCTCGCTGGATAAAGATCACCCCTGAGGATGCCCATCGGATCCTGCTTCTGTCACCAGCGGGTGGTGTGCACTCTTGGAGACTATTCGTTTTCAGGGTGGGGGACTTTTGTTCTGCCAAGAGCCATTTGAATATTTATAACATCATTTGAGAGCCATACAAAATTATCAACTTAAAAACTGCCTGTTAGGCTCAGTCCCTGGCCCTGGTCGTGGTGCGTGCGGGAGGCAAGCAATCGATGTAGCTATCTCACATCGATGTTTTTCTCTCTGTCTCTCCCCCTCCCTTCCCCTCTCTCTAAAAATCAATTTGAAAATCTCCTCGGTTGAAGATGAACAAAGACAAAACAAAACAA